GGCCAGGCTGGTCCACGGTCAGCCCAAGAGTCGTTCTCTTTCACAGAGAGATGGAGTTGACCACGTTTCCCTTATTTCCACCTTTCCTCTTTCTGTCTCACTCTGTGCCTCCCTTCTCTTACTGTGGAACCAGCTCCCATTGTCTGATTTTGCTTTGCTGAGCATTTGGGTTTGAGTCTATCTTGCTTCTTTGATCCCCTCCCGTCCCACCAGCCCCTCTTGAGGAAAAGGATTCTTACACATTCATCTCTGAATCCTGCCCCAAGGACCCAGCACACACATCAGATAAACAGATGGATGAGTGCTCAGGTGGGGCCAATGACTGCAGAGCCATCATCCTTCCTGCCTCTCTGCCCATTCTCACTTGACGCACCCACGCTCCATCCACCTCAGACCCGTCTCTCTCGTCTGTCTCTCTGACATAAGCCCTTGACATGCTCCCTTGTCCCCTTAGAAAAATCCTTCTGCGGATGGAGAAGAGGCCCATGATCTGACTCTTCCTTCTTCAAGATCAGTGCCTTCACTTCCTCAACTGCAAAATGGGAATAAGAAAAGGGTCTGAGGTCTGGTTCCTCAGAAGCAGAGCCTGGGATGGGCATGCTCGTGCATGGAATTTACTGAGGGAGAGAGTGCCCCCCGGAATAACCTGCCAGGGAAGGATGAGGGCAGGACAGGGAAGGGAAAGGCAATTGGCAAATGTGGGTTGAGGGTTCAGGACAAGTGCACCCTCAGCCTCAGCCCTTGGGGAGCCCTGGGGGGTGACTTGCACCATATAGGCTGTTGCTACCTAGTGGTTCCCATCGGCCAAGGACCATATCCTCTGGAGAAGGGTGCAGGTGTACCTGCAAGGTGGAGGGCAGGGTGGCACGCCAGCAGCACCTGCTAGCAAATACCTGCCTGCTAGGCTCGTTGGGAGGATGAAACCAGGCTATTCAAAATTCTAAGAAGAGTAATCAACACTTTTAGAGTTCAGCAACTGTTTCTGTCATTGGTCCTCTTGCTTCAAAACCTGGTAAAATTCCACCTCCGAAGTCTTCCTCACTGGCTGTCTTGAGAATTAATCATCTCTTCCCCGGCTGCCTCAGCACGGGGTGTTTTTCCTTCTCATTTAGGTTTTAAAACGGCACAAATAAAACATGGGAGATGGTTAGTGTAAAAGATTCTGGCAGAGCCTGAAACGTACAGGGGATACACAGAATGTTTTCTCTGCCCTCCCGATCTTCCCCAGAGAAACTCCCCTTGGTGGCCCTTGGTGCGTCAAGTGTTATCCATCAACCTGCCCTGTATTTGGGGAGTTGGGTTTTCCCAGCTGCATTTAGAGACCCTTAATGGGAGAGAGCTGGCTCACCATTTCCTCTCCCCTGCTCAATAAACAGTTTGCTTAGCCCAGAGTTGCTGCTGGAGCTTCTAAAGGACAGGATGGGGGTGGGGCAGGAGGTCTTCAGCCTTCTCTCCTTGGAGATTCTGACCCTGACCTGAGTCAGTCCACCAATCTCCTTAGAGATTCCGGAAACAAATTCTCCAGGTAGATGAGATAAAAATCTGTCCAAGAGGAGGCAGTTTTTGAAAGGTGGCTTCTGTCTGTCGAAGACCTTGCTCATCGATTTATTCCGCTCCCCCCTGGACTATCATTTGGTGTGTGTGTACACTGAATGACTTCTACTGAGACTAAAAATAGTAAGACGCAGTCATTGTGGGGGCCTGGGAAATAAAAATCAGCTTTAATCTCCTCCCAGCAAACTCACTTTTGAGAGACTTTCACGTGGTCCCAGGATCATGCAGTCTTTCATCACTTTTGCTCTCGGCTACTTCTGGCCCCTGCCTCACGACAGACCCCCGGGGGACCCATGCTTCTTTCTCTTCTTGTTGCGAACTCAGAGGTGACGTGCCCAAGTGTCGGTCAACTCCCAGTTTCTTTGACACTTCTTCCCGGTCCAGTAGAGAGAGGGAAGTGGTCGTTTCCCACCTTATTTTGCTGTCGGTCCCATCACTCAAGAAGTCTTCAAGTTGCAGGAAGGGCCCTATTTTTAGTGGAGTGGGACTTCTGGGCATCCAGATTGCCAAAGCTCGCTCGCTACCAGATGCTCTTCTGTGTTGTCACTGGAACTCTGTGTCCTCACTTGTCACATGCTTGTCACCTCACGTAAACTTTGCCACAGCCGAGCAAGTCCTCCCCCCCCACCCATTCTCAGATGAGGAAACTGAGGCTCAGCGAGCAGAGGGGGGTTGTCTAGGATCCCATGTGCCCCCCGGACCCCTCCCCATCCTGTCCTCTCCACTCCCATGACCCTGTGTGCCTCTTAGGTGGACATGAACATATTCTGGGGGAGAGAGAAGGGGCCTGTGTGTGCCTGTGTGTAAGTAGATAACATTGATCTTTCTCCTGCTAATACAGAGGTCATAAGCTACCAGCCTGCTGGCCAAAAAACCTACCACAGCTATATTGTGTTTGCTCCTCACAGGGTTTTAAATTTTTAAAAAAAACTGTTGATGACATTTACAGATAAAGAATATGAGCCTAAAAATCCAGATGTCCAGCTTCTCTTGAAAAAAAAAAAATAGAAAACCGGCAGTTTAGACTCCCATCCTGGCTTGGCCACGGTCAGGTGGAGCTGAGTGGTGGCTATATCCATTTGACTGGGCAGATTGCCACAGTCCCCACCATTCCTTGTTACCTCCCCCAGTAGAGCCAGTGTCAGTTCTTATTTGTCACGGCACAGAGACTGTTGCTTTTTCTAATTGGGAGATTCCAAAGGAGAGAGCTGTAAGTCCTAACCAGCCCACCTCACTCAGTATTGCTAGTCCTTATAGGCATTCTCAGGTTTCCCTGCTAGCTCAAGTGGTAAAGAATCCACCTGCAATGCAGGAGACCCTGGGTTGATTCTTGGATCAGGAAGATGCCCTGGAGAAGGGATATACTACCCATGCCAGTATTCTTGCCTGGAGAATCTCCCTGGACAGAGGAGCCTGGTGGGCTACAGTCCATGGGGTCGCAGAGTCGGACATGACTGAGCAACTAAGCACAGCCCAGCACATAGGCAATTCTCTCCCCTGTCCTTCGAATCCCTACCAAGTCATCTTTGTAAATCCCAGGGCCTTAGCACACAATAGATGTGAAGAATAACAACAGCTACTGTTTTTTGGGTGTGTGTGTTTATCATGGAGAAGGCTATGGAATTTATCACGCTTTAAATAAATATAAAGGTAGGAAGGACTTCCCAGGTGGCACTAGTGGTAAAGAACCCACCTGCCAATGCAGGAGACATGGGTTCAATCCCTGGGTCGGGAAGATCCTCTGGAGAAGGAAATGGCAACCCACTCCAGTATTCTTGCCTGGAGAATCCCATGGACAGAGGAGCCTGGCGGGCTACAGTCCATGGGGTCACAAAGAGTCAGACATGACCGAGCAACTTAGCACGCACAAAAATAAACTAACAGGCTCAGAAAGGTTGAGGGCATGTTCAAGGTCACCCAACTGATGACTTTTGTCATTAGGACTTTTGTGGTGTCCCTTACTTTTGCACTGAGTTGCCTCACCTTTTGCAGCTTTTCACACCTCTCCGTTTTGCCTTTCAACTTAACTGCTGGTTTCTGAAGTTTTCAGAAAAGAAATAGTAACTGAAGCCGAGCCTTGGCACTATGACTGGACAGGAATTGATTGAGAGGGAGAAGGGCATTTCCATCCATGAAGAAGAAGAGAGAGAGATGTGGTATGGGGCTAAATATACATTACGAGGGGCTCCGGGAACCAAGGTGGGAACGGAGTAGAAAGGGCACTTGGGGACAAGGCAGGGAACCTGGAATGGCAGTCTGAAGCTATGGAACTTCTAAGGGCACTGGGGAACTGTGGAAGGTTTCAGAGCAGGAGCAGCCGTGAACCATGTCTGACGTCATGAAACCTAGTGTCACAGGAGGCACTGTGAGAATCCAGAAGAGAGGTGTTGGGGCCCTTCAACAGGTTCCAGGGGGAACTGTGGAGGCCCCCTCAGTAAGGTTGGAGATGGGAGAGCCTGGAGCTGGTCACCTGGAGGCCCACGGTGCCGTTCACTGGGATGGGGAAGGTAGGGTGTCCGTGCGGAGGTGTCCTCTGGGCACCCATGGGAGAGGGCAGGCCTGCAGCAGGAGATGCAGTGATGCCTGCCAAGCCAAGTTGGAGCAGTGAGAACGGAGCGCTCTGAGCCAAGAGCCTGGAGACACCTCCTCTCACACCTGCCGGATTTCCTTTCCCTCAGGCCTCGCTGCCCCCCTCTCTTCGCTCTACGCCTAAGCCCCTGAGAGTGAATATCCTCTGCCCCATTCTAGGGCCTTAGAGCACAGGCCACTGTGCATTTGGCTCCTGCAAAGGGTAGCAAGATCCCAGCCATTCCTAGGAAGCAGGCTTTCCAGACACCCAGAGCCCAGGGTCTCCCCAGGCCCCAGCTCCTGTTTCAACAGACCAAAGCCTGGGGACGGGTGGGTGGTTACCAGGGTTCTGCCCTCCCTGCCCCCGCCCCACCGGGGCCCCTCTTCTTCTCTCTTCCTGCGGGCAGAGCAGTGCATTTGGCTTTTTATAAAGCCGATAAATAAATAAGCAAGCGGGCATGATTAATTGATGGCATGGAGCAGACCCAGGCACTGGGAGTCAGGTGGCCCAGCTTCCTGGTGGAGCTAGGCTTTTCAGCGACCTGGGGCTTGTGCCAAGGAGGGGAAGCCTGCTTTGGGGAAGTACTTCAGTGTGTGCCTGGGGCGTCCACCTTTCTCCTCCTCTGTGCCGGCCTCCTCTAGGCCCTAGGCCCAGCCAGGGCTGGAGGCTGGGGGCCAACAGGTGCCCCTGCCCTACCCCCATCTCGTCTCCCAGTCTGAGTGCCTTCGGGCTCAACACCCCAGGATTGCTCCAGCCAGCCCTCTCCCCCAAAGCTAGGTCTCCCCGTATACCCCGTCCGCACCTCAGTAATCTCACACTGCATGACCCCAGCCTTGGGTTCCTGTGTGTTGGGAATGGGGTATTGGGGTACCCTGACCCAGGGAAAAGGGTTCCTCCAAGGGTCCGGCTGATGGGCGGGGGCGGTAAGGAGCTGGTGCTGATGGAGGTACCTGAAGACCGAGCCCGGGGAAAGGCAGGACACCCGCTCCCCGGGCCCCCCAGCGCGCGCGCGGGGGAGGGCGCGGGCTGGACCGCGAGCTCCGGGTCCCGCAGGACGCTCTCTGTGCGGAGTTTGGGGAGGGCCGAGGGGGAGCGCGCGGGGGAGGAGGGAGCGGGAGGGGAGGGAGAGAGGGAGGGAGGCGGGCAGAGCGCAGTGCAGCGGCGGCAGAGGCGACGGCGGTGGGAGGGAGGCAGGCGGGCGGGCGGGCGGGCGGCGGCGGGGCGGCGGGGCGAGGCAAGCGCGGGGCAGCGGCGGCAGAGGAGCCGCAGCCGCAGCGGGGCCGGGCCGGGCCGGGCGCGCACCAGCGGCAGCGGCAGCGGCAGCATCTCGCTTGCGGAGCCGGCGCAGGTGAGACAGGGGCGGCCGGGCCCGGGGCTCTGGGCCTCCTCCCCTCTCCTTCGGTCTCTCTCTTCCTCCCGGCTGGCTTCCCTTCCTCGGGCGCTCGTCCCCGGGAACCACTGCCCGACCAGAGCCCGAGCCAGAGCGCGTCCCGGGTCCACTCGCCCCGCGGAGGCAGGCGTCTTGTCAGCGGTGACCTTGAGCGGGCAGCCGGCGCGGGCGGGGCTGGCCGGGGTGGGCGCCTGCGGACCCGGCGCCTGCAGGCGCGGGGAGGGGGCGCGCCGTCCGCCTGACGCGCGCAAACTTTCCGGGGCTCCGAACAGCCCCGGAACTGGGGCCAGGGTCGTCCAAGGCGTTAGAACCCCCCGATTTCTTCCTTCCCAGCTGTCTCTGACTTCTCTGCCTAGCTTCTCCCCAGTATTGCGGGGTCCCCCCTTCCTCCAGGTCCGGATATCTGCAGGCCAGGGACAGGAGCGGAGCGGTGGACGTTGACCCAGGGCTGGGGGCTGACCTCCTCCGCAAAGGCGGTTTCGGAGCGCTAAGAGCCCAAGCGCCGCAGGACCCTCTGCCAGGTGCCCTCTGCATCTCCGGCCTTGCTCTTCCCTGGCGCCCCTCACCCTGCCCGCAGCCCTTCCTGAAGCACCAGGAGTCCCCCACCTGGTGACTCAAGGGCTCCGAAGCCCCACACTCTTCTCAGGCTCTCAGATCTGCAGCTTGATTTTTCAGTCCAGCGTCAAAGGGTCCTTGAGAAAGAGGACTCCACCTAAGGCAGGTACCCCCCCTAAGGCCCCAAAGTGGATCAATATGTTTCCGCATACCTGGACTCACCCGGGGCCTGGTCATCCTGAAGCCCTGTGGTCTCAGGAGGAGACTATGTCCTGGCCGTACGGTGTGTCTTAGCATCCTAGAACGTTATTCTTGAAGATGGGAGGTGAGCCCCAGAGAGGGTGATCCAACCTCAAGGTCACACCGCCAACCTGTTAAAGGAGCAAGAACTGGGCTTCCCCCCCCCCAAAAAATGGGTTGAGAGGGAAGGAGAGTACTCCTGTTTGGTTCCTACTCCTGGGGAATTTGGGTTCTGTCTCTTACTAGCTGTGTGATCTCTGACAAGTCAATTCCCCTCTGACTCTCTTTCCCTATGTGTAAAATGGGGGTAGCTACCTCCCAGGGCTGTTCCGAAGGCTGTGTTAATGTTCTTAAAGTTCTTACCACCCTGCCTATTACATGGTCTGTCTCCAAAAAATTTTTGGCTACCAACATGTGAAATTTCCTTTCCGGGCTCAGAAGAGAAGAAACCATTCCCATCCTCTCCGGTCTGCTCTGGCACCTAGATTTCAGAGGGTTCTCCCCTGTGGCTCTGTGGGCTGTTAGGGGGCAGCACCTGCTGGAACCCTGAACCCTTGTGCCCTGTGTAGAATGTTCGGTGGTGGCAGGAGTCCCAGACCCTCAAGAGCCCTCTGGACCTACTGGTCTGGCTACTGTAGGCTGTGATTTCTTGCTGCTTCCATGGCAAGAACGGTCCCTAGTTTCTAGCTGGGAGATGTTGACGGGGCGCCCTGCTGCAGTTCCAGGAGGATCAACCCCCTCCCCCCACAGTCTCATGGGCGAACATCAGCCTCACCTTCTCCCACTCTTCTCTGACCCACTCTTCTCTCAACCTCTGTGCGATGTCGTTCCTTCCCTCAGAGCTGCTATTGGCAGCAGAGAGACAAGGCAGGAGGAACTCATTCATTCATTCCCTTGCCTAGCCTTGAGTCACGCCTTCTCTGAGTCAAGGGATGCTTGGAAGGACTGAGAAATATCAGCCATATGTTGTAGTTATGACGCTCCTTCCAGGTGCCAGGCACCTCCTAGTCCCTAGAGACACATTCATTCATTTGACACATTTTTATTAAATACTTAATATGTGCTAAGCACTGTTTGGTGTGCCAGGGAGACATTGGTAAATAAAAGAGACCTGGTCCCAATTGTCTAGGGTGACCATGTAATTTGCCATCCAAGCCGAGATAATTTTGAGAATGAGAGAGGGCATTATTAATGATAACACCAGAAGCACGGACATAGACAGGGATCCAGCCAAACCGGGTTGTGTGGCCATCCTGTGACCTTGTATTTATACACCAGTGTTCATGGAGAACTGTTAATGTGTTTTTTTGAGCTTGCTTTTTGCCAGGCTCTGTTAAGCCCTTTCGAGTTATCATCTGACTTAATCCTCCCGGGGCTGTGAAGCTGCCGCTACCATCTGCATGCAGCTGGTTAGTTGTGGGGCTGGGACCCCGTCTGCTACTTGACTGCTGAGTTGCAGTGTCTCCCCAGAAATGGACAAGACCCAGGGCCCATGGGTGCTCTCACTCTATCAAAGAGGCTCACAGATGACTGTTAGGAGCACAGATGCTGTAATAGATGTGCCGCAGGGGCAGACGGAGGCACAGATTTTGCCCGAAAGAGTCTGAGGCAGCTTTCTGAAGGACAGAACCTTTGAGCTGGAGCTTGAAACCTGAATTAGGATTTTTTTGGAGTGTCCGGTTGGGGGCAGGGCATTCCAGGCCCAGGTAACTGAGGCTTTGAGGTGTAGGATATGTGAACTGTTTGGAGCTGCCATCCCCAAATAGGTCTGGATCTAACTGTGACAGGACAAGATTTGGGTCTGAAACAGCAGAGCCAGCGAAGACTGCATCCAGAGCTGGTGTGCCGCGGCATCTTACAAGAGTGCTCTGAAGACGTGACTATTCTAGAGTAGGTGGTAGAGAGAGTTGGTTGTGCTGGTTCCCCTTTGACGGGCATTTTCTGTGGCCCAGTCTATGCTCTGGATTGCCTGCAAGGTCAGGGAAATCAGTCTGTTATGTAGAACCACTGCAGAAGAATCTTACCAGCGTCTCTCACAGCAGAAAGGTTTCACCAGGCAAAGTGATTGCCGGCAAGAGGAATATTAACCTACTTAAAGGACATGGTGTTTAGTAGCATCATTTGCAAATAAGGAACGGGCTCATTATAAGTTAAATCTTTTCTGTGTGCTCGGTCACGTCCAGAACAATAGAACTTCCTCCTCTCGCTCCTCCTCTCCATGTCACCTCTGTCACCATAGAAATCTGCAAGTCATAAAACTGAACTTCTTTAGTAATATAGAAAATTATAAGTCTTATTTCTCAGACTTTTCACTAATTCAGACTGGCCTCCTTTCCTCTCCCTGCTAAGGAAGTGGAATTATTAGCTCTATGGAATCTAAAACCTTGAATCTATTAGCAGAGAACAATAGCAGAAAAGGGGGTAAACTGTTAGGGCCTTGAGTTTGGAAAATCACGCTAGGAAGGTTTGGGAGGCAGTAGAGCTTGATGGACTTTACTTCTGGGGGCTCCAAGATCACTGCGGATGGTGACTGCAGCCAGGAAACTGAAAGAAGCTTACTCCTTGGAAGACACGTTATGACCAAGCTAGACTGCATATTAAAAAGCAGAGACATTACTTTGCCAACAAAGGTCCGTCTGGTCAAGGCTATGGTTTTTCCAGTGGTCATGTATGGATGTGAGAGTTGGACTGTGAAGAAAGCTGAGCACCGAAAAATTGATGCTTTTGAACTGTGGTGTTGGAGAAGACTCTTGAGAATCCCTTGGACTGCAAGGAGATCCAACCAGTCCATCCTGAAAGAGATAAGTCCTGGGTGTTTATTGGAAGGACTGATGCTGAAGCTGAAACTCCAATACTTTGGCCACCTCATTCGAAGAGTTGACTCATTGGAAAAGACCCTGATGCTTGGAGGGATTGGGGGCAGGAGGAGAAGGGGACGACAGAGGATGAGATGGCTGGATGGCATCACCGACTCGATGGGCATGAGTTTGAGTAAACTCTGGGAGTTGGTGATGGACAGGGAGGCCTGGCATGCTGCGATTCATGGGGTCGCAAAGAGTTGGACACGACTGAGCGACTGAACTGAACTGAACTGAGAGCTTGATGGAAGGCAGGGAAGGGGTGGAGCAGGGCCAGATGGGTGTGTGACCTATGTAATGACGTGGGATTCTGTGGCGAGAGGGGCCCCACAGCTTGATTCAATGCTCTGTGGTCACATATTGAAATCCTTAATAACTTTTGAACAGGAAAGCCCACATTTTCACTTTGCACTACATCCTACAAATTATATAGCTCATCCTGGGAGGGAGAGAGGAAGAGAGAAAGGGTGGGGGTGGAGGTGGGGGTCAGGAAGACAGCAGGGTAAAGATAGTGATGGGAAGAGAGAAAAGCAAGTAACATTTCTAGAGTCCCTGCCATGTGCCAGATGCTTTGTGAGACCACTTACCTCATTTCTCTACTTTAGTCTTCTTGACAATCCTATGAGGTAGGTGATGTCACCCCTGTTTGAAAATGTAGATTTTATGTGACTCAGGTTTGGTAGGGGCTTCCCTGGTGGCTTGGTGGTAAAGAATCTGCCTGCCAATGCAGGAGACATAGATTTGATCCTTGGGTCGGGAAGATCCCCTGGAAGAAGAAATGACAATGCACTCCAGTATTCTTGCCAGGGAAATCCCATGGACAGAGGAGCCTGGCGGGCTACAGTCCATGGACTCACAGAGAATGGACACGACTTAGTGACTAAACAACAAAACAACAGGTATGGTAAGGCCAACAGATCAGGAGACGACTGACATAAAAGACAGTTTATGACTCACAGCCCCTCAAGAGGACAGGGCATGTCATGCCACGAGAGGCCACATGGGAAGCACCAGGGTCAGTCAGGAAGCCAAGGGAGCAGAGAAAAACACGGGCAGCTGCCCTTCCTGTGGTTTCCATGCGAAGGAGCAGGCGAGACAGAGGAAGCAGGTTGAGGATTGGCTAGTTAGAGTGATTTCAGCAGGCTGGAGGGCGTAAGGACTGCCCCGAGTTGCCTGGTATCTGGCCCCAGGCTGATGAGCACAAGCAGAGTTGCAGGAGCTCGCTGAAGGAGGCAGAAGGGAGGCGCGCGGGAGGCTGCCCATGCTTTCTCTGCTGCTTCCCACCTGCCCTCACTCCAGCAGGTCACAGAATTAGGAAGATCCTCTGAAGAGCACCTGGGCCAACTCCTTGATTTTGCAGAGAAGAGTGAAAAGACAGGCCCAGAGAGGGAAAGCAACTTCTCCAAGGTCACACAGCATTTGAGGGATCTGAACTAGACCCATGAATTCATGTCTCCTGTCAATTGAACTACTACTACTACTACTACTACTACTTATTATTATTATTATTATTATTATTTTTCCTAGAGCAGAATTAGGACTAAGCCAGATCCACCAAACTGAGCATGTCAGGGTCCGAGTTGCTGTCTCACTGAGTGCCTGTAACTGTAGGTACTCAATACACAGTTGTATCCGTTTCCCAGGGCTGATGTCACAAATTAGCACAAGCCGGGACACTGGAAACATCAGAAATCTATTCTCATACCATTCTAGAGCTGCTTCCGAGGTGGCTCAGTGGTGAAGAATCGACCTGCCAATGCAGGAGATGCAGGTTTGATCCCTGGATGGGGAAGATACCCAGGAGGAGGAAATGGCAACCCACTCCAGTATTCTTGCCTGGAAAATTCCATGGACAGAGGAGCCTGGCAGGCTACAGTCTGTGAGGTCGCAAAGAGTTGGAGACGACTAAGCGAGCGAGCAAGACAGTTCTAGAGGCTAGCAGTCTGAAATCAAGGGGCCGGCAGGGCCACGCACCTTCTGAAACCTGTAGGAAAGCTCCTGATGGTTTCCAGCAGTCTTTGCTGCTTGTAAGCCTGTAACTGCATGACTGCTGTCCCTGCTGGTGTCTTCACATGCCTGGCCCCTCACTCTGTCTGTGTCTCATTTTCACATCTCTCTGTCCTTATAAGGACAACAGTCATATTAGAATGGAGCCCACCCTCACTGAGGATGACCTCATCTAAACTTGATCACATCTGCAAAGACCCTGTTTCCAAATAAGGTCACATTCACAGGTGCAGGGTTAGGACTCCAGTGTATTTTCAGGGAGGACACAGCCTCACACACAACGGCAGTGAACCAGACTGTGTGAATGTGAATGATTTGGGCCGAGAATGAACTCCTCTCTGCCCCAAGGTTAATACCAGCTCTGAAGAATCGAACGTTCTTGAGAAGGAGCAAATGACAACTGTTCAGTCCACACTGAGAGAGAAAAATCAATCCCCGTTGAGGGAGAAAGCAGTCCCAAGCATACACAGTAGCATCTCCACCTGAGCCTTCCTGCTTGCCCCACCGTCCTGACGCCATCACTTTCTATTTGTGTCTCTGGCTTCCTGGGGGAGTTGAGCAGCTTCAGTCCCCTGTTTGCTTATCTGTGAAACAGGATACCAACAGTGCCTACCTCATGGGTGCTTTCCTGAGGAATGAGAGGACTTAAGACGAGTGATTCTTAAAACAGTGCCTGGCACACAGTTGCTACTGTTACCACCATCATCATCTTTTAATTTAGATAACTTTTCACATATCTTTGTATCTTTCAGTCTTCCTCACAGCAAGCCCTATGACATGCTTCCATAAATACCAGCTTCCTCTCCCCATAAGGTGGTTACTCACTGATGAAGCCAGGTCTCAATCCCGGTTCTCGGGTTTCCAGTTCCGAGCTGGCCTCACTGCATGGTGCCTGCTCTGGTAGCTGAAAACCCTCTGGTACGAAGACGTTGTTCCTGGTTTTATGGGGCTGGGAGGCTGGAGAGGAGTGATGTGTCAGGGAGAGGAAGATGTGAGGGGAAGGAGGGGGTACCCAGAAAGGGGAAATAGCCTCAGCGGCCAGAGCCCCCCTTGTCATTATGCTTCTTGGAGGTGGCACAGATGACAGTCTTCCTTTTTTTAAATTTGCATTTTCAGGCCCTGGTACATAGTAGGTGCCTAATAAATGTGTTGGATGAATGGATCTCTTATCAAACACAAACTGTCACTGTCCCCCACCCAACAACAACAACAACAACAACAAAATCCTGGGATGAGGCCCCCTTGCCTAAGTGGTGATTCCTGGCGACAACTCACAGCTGGGCTATCGACGTGTGAGTGATGTAAAAAAAACGTGCTTTGGATGCTGTTTGAGGAAACTGGATGAGCTGTGAGGGGTGAGGGTGTGAAGAGGGTCCAATTAAGATTTGTAGAGTGTTTAGCAAAAAAGCCTGGGTCATAAATATCGTCGCCTTCCTTTGCTCTTTTATTCTTCTTCACCCACCTCTCTTCTTCTCTCTTCATTTTAGTGTATTAATTGAGGTAGTCATTAGTGCTATAGAAGTATTTACAGAAGTGCTGTATTATTTATAGAAGGGCTACAGAAAGTAAGTAAAGCTCCTTACTTTCTAGGTAGATGGTAAATGGAGCTTCTTTGCCTGTTCTGTCATTAGTTATAGCTGTGTGTCTTGCTTTGGCCAGTGAAATTTGAGAAGTGACATCTGTCATCTCGGGATGGAAGCTTTAATAACTAGAATGCTGTTAGCCACTGTCCCCTTTTCCTGCGTTGGCAACTGAGGCAGCGTGAAGTTGGGGCCTCCCTTAGTCTGATTCCCAAGTGAAGATGATGCGGAGCAGAGCGCTCTGCCAAAGCAGGATGGACGTGCAGCAATCAGTGAGAAGTGAGCCTTCGCTCTTAAGTCACTGACACTTTGCTCTTATTTGTTCCTGCAGCATAATCTGTCCTGTCCTGACTGACACAAGGTAGGGCACGAGCTAAAATAACCACAACTTGTTTAGAGATGTGTAGCCCTCTGTCCATGGAATTCTCCAGGAAGGAATACTGGAGTGGCTTGCCATTCCCTTTTCCCAGGGATCTTCCTGACCCATGGATCGAACCCAGGTCTACTGCAAGGCAGGCCGATTCTTTACTGTCTGATCCACCAGGGAAGCTCTAGAGATGTGTTTAAGTCTTTTCATTCCTTCACACGTAATGATTAAAATTTTAGTGTTTGAAGGTGTTGTGGATACAAAATGGGTGAGCATCACTGCTCTGTGAGGTAAAGATCAGTCGTTGTGGCACAGATTATGGGAACCGTACCAATTTCAGCCCAGCCTCATCTGCTTTGGTCTCATGTGGTCCTGCCGGACAAGTCCACAGCATCCTCGAAATGGGCCATGTGTGTTGGAGCAACTCCAGGCCTTTGGCCCTGCTCTGCCCGGAATGGGGCATCCCCCAGAAAGTCACGTCACTTGATGAGTGGCTGTGGTGGACAATGACGAGGGCATGGAGGGAGAGGGGAGCATTGGGTTGGTTCTGTGTGGCATGGAAGACCAGAATTAGGACTGAGAGCGAGAGTCCTGTTCAGGGTGAGAGAGTTTTCTAGCTATTAGGGCATGGCCTGGCACAGTAGTGAGCTCACCACTCTAGGTAGTTTCCAAGGAGGGGTGGGATGTCACAGTGGAGGTTTCAAGTCAGCAAAACTAGCATAAACTTTCCAATCCTGTCACACATGATTTTAGGTGATTGTCCAAAGAAGGTGGATCTTGGCTGTAATTCTCTATTTCTTTTTCCCTTTAAAAAATAAAAATAGCTACCCCTCCCAATTATAGATTTGTTACATAATGATTATACAATTACAAGTGATATCCAAAAGTACAAAGTAAAACTCAAATGCAATGCCATAAAACAGAGCTAACCTCCATTAACATTTCCTTCCAGACAATGTCCTTCTAGATGTTTCTCTATGATTGATAGGTAAATAGATAGATTTTTTTTAACTTTCTGTCACTCAGTAGAAGAGTATGGATGTCTTAAATAGTAGTAAATATTTCTCTACCTTGTCTTTTATAAGTGGCTCTGCTATAATTTATTTAATGGATCCCTTCCTGGCGGTTGTTCCTGAATTGTGCCATTAGGGGCACCATTAGGATGAACGTCTTGTCTGTGGACCCCTGGGCTGTGTCCAGGCATCTCCTAAGGACACATTCCTAGAAGTGACGGCGACTGACTCAGGCAAACGGTTTGGGATGAAAGAAGAGATCAGAGCCATGGTGTGATCAGGTAGAGGAATCACTCTGGCAGGAAGGCAGCCTGCGAAGGGTCCCAAGGAGGGGGAGATGAAAGGGAGATGGTGGCTGGTCTGGAAGGCTGAGGCAGTGGAAGACGGGGAGGACATGGAGGGAGCTGGCTTTAGAGACCCTCAGTCCCAGCTTTGGGTGAGCCATTTCCCAGGCAAAGGCTGACTGTGATGGCAGTTAAGATTTAGTGGAGCCAGGTAATTACAAGTGTTTTTATGTGCACATCAGAGCCCCACCACCACCTTGCAAGGAAAGAATCTGTCCCCATTTTACAGAGGAATAAAGTGAGGCCTGGAGAGGACCTAGCAAAGGTGCTGTTGTCTCCGTCTGTAGTGTGTGGGCTCCGGCAGAGTTCAGACCCTTCGCCTGCACACACCCTGGCTAGCTCATGCCTCCCGTCTTGGCAGCCAGCTCTTTCCCACTCTTGGAAAGGAAGACTGATGGTAGGTGACTTCTTTGTGAAGTTTTTATTCGTGGCTCCTCATCCAGCCCAGTTGCCCCCTCCCCACCCCCAGAGTAAGGCAGACTGCTCAGGGCTCAGAAAGATGTCCTGCAGGCCATCACCAGAGTGTTAACTCTTGAGTATTCATTGTTGAACCAGGGAGCCTGCATCTGGCTTCGGTGAATTGGATTCCCTGACTCAACTGACAGACAGTAAGACCCTTTCTTATCTCACATGATCCAAAGCTCTGGAGTCCGTTAATTCAGCAGTTCATTCCATGCCATCAAAACCCACAGTCTTTTTGTCCTTCTCCTCTGCTATCATCATCTAAAAGGATTCCGCTGTCCTGAGCATCCCCTGAAGATGCCACAGCACCCAGGGGACAGAAGGCAGAGGCAGCTCTCTGTTTCTTTTATCAGGGAGGAAGTCTTTCCCAGAAGCCCCCCAGCCAACTTTTCCTTCTGTCTCATTGGCTGGAATTGGGCCACATGGCCGTGTCTAAACCAATCACTGCCAAGGGACTGTGTCTGAGGGCTTTAAAGGACCAGGACTCGTCTCTGCATCAGTTAGAGGCAGCGGTAGATGCCTAATACAGTCAGGGCTCTGCCAGCCAGGAAAGGAATGACCATTGGGAGGCAGCTCCCAGGGTCTGCTCAACTGTGTGCTCACACTCCCAGCTCCGCTGCTAGGCTGGGAGCTGTGAGAGGACAGGGGCTTGGGACTTACCCCTTCCTGTGTCTTCTGCAGGGCTTGGCACCCTGTGGATATTGAGCAAACTATGGGTTGGGTGAACGAATGAAACAAATCAGTAGGTGTTTCTGGAGACTGCATTGGACCCTGAGATCTCTGTGCACCAACAATGCCAGTGCTCTGTTGACTGGGGCGGGGGGTAGCTTAGGTATTTCAGAGAGTATAGGAATGGCTTTGTCCTCAAAGATGTTGTAATTTGGCGGTGGGGAGAACTCTAGAGCCTAAGCATTGTGTAGAATTACGGCCTGGATGGTGGCTCTGACTAGACATGTCATAGAAGGTAAATGCCTCTGTAGGAGCCCAGAACAGTAGAGCAAGGCCCATTAGGGACCAGACAGTGTGAAGGGCAGTGATGGGTGGTGGAGAAAAACACTGTGTGCTCTGAGACTGGATGTGAGTGTGGTGGATACGGGGCAGTGAGGGCCCCAACTAGGCCTGAAGAGGACTCATTCCTGAGAGCCTCCTATGTGCTGAGCATCATACTTGTATTTATTTCATCTACTCTTTCCTGTGTCTCTATGAAATGGATCATCCTGACCCATTTTGTAGATGGGGAAACTGAGACTCAGAGGGTGAGTTTGCTTGTTGGACATCACAGAGCCAGGAAGTGGTGGAGTTTGGCTGAGAAAGCACATCTGTTCTGAAACGCTGGCTCCGTTCCGCAAAGGGGCTGGGATGGCCTTTGAGGGCCCACCTAAGACCAGCGGACTGTGGAGTGAATGGGAGGGGGGGTGCCTGTAAACTGGCAAGGAGGGCCTTGAGAAGCTTGGCGCTGTGCAGTGAGGGGGGCAAAACATCCCTGTGGAAGAGGTGCTTGTAACAAGATTCAGGGTGGGCCTGAGGAACCGTGATCCTTGGCATCAGACCTGACCTCACATCCCTGATCTGCCAGCTAATGGCTGTGACCTTGATGGGACACTTAGCTTCTCCATCGCTGTTTCTCCATCTATAAAATGATGATAATAATTAAATATGTACCCAGTGCCTGGCACATAAGGAGAATTTAATAAGTGGAGCTATTACAATTATTATCATTATTGCTGTGGCTTCGGAGCCTGGTGGGTGATCACATTTTGAGGCGACTCCCTTGGTGTGGGAGTCCTGGGTTCCAGCTCTGCCTTGATCACCACCCACACATTTGCCCTTGACTGCATCCCACACCCAGCCTGGCTCTCCAGGCTTCCTCTGCAAACTTAAGAGGGGGTGGGCCAGCTGAATTCTAGCCGCCTCCTCGTTCCAAGCTCTGCACTTGTGTGAGGTGGAAGGGGGAGGCTGCAATGACAAACGGGATCAGAATGGAGTGAGGGGGTGTTGGGGGTGCCTTTGTTCGGGGGAGGGAAGGGAAGGGCAGAGGTGGGAAGGAGGATCAGAGAGGAGCCAGAGCAGGCGCGCAGCCAGCCAGGACCGGGCAGGTGTGCAAACCGGTGGCCGGGCAGTTTGGAGGGGAGCAGAGGCAGCCTGCTGAAACCGACCAGGCAGAAGCACATTGAGAACAGCTGCGTCTGAC